GCCCCCCCCCCCCCCCCCTCCATGTTTTTGGGGAAACCACCCTTGCCTTGATAAAAAGAAGTGAAATTTTACTGCTCATTTTGTGGGCTAGATCTATTGGTAAAACATCGATACGGAATATTTAAATCAGTACAGTGTAATCCACTTATAACGAGTCCCGAAAATAATGAGAAGTCTGTTATAAAGACACTATTCTAAAACCTCGTTTTTTTCCCCTTCTTTATCATTGTAAATAAAATACTGCTACGCAATCAGACAAACACATGAGTCGGTTGTAGCAGAATATAGCTGCTGCTATGCACAGTGCCTAGGCCATTTATTCATGTAAAACCTCGCTAGTTGAGAAACTTGTTGATTATCCTGCGAAACAAAGAATGGGAGAATACTGTAACCTCCTTGGAGAGCCCACGTGTGCCAACAGTGAAGGCCAGAGCGCTTGAGTGGGGAGAGTGTGGCATGCACAGACAAGCCGAATGCATCGTGTGATAGGCCAGCCTAGTCTAGATTGTCTAGGCCTACCATGCCTCTCACTTCTCCGATGCGGGGATGGAGAGGTCACAATGCTGTACAACTGCGATGGACAGAGCGAATATGTGACATGGGCGGGGTGTGGTATGTTCCCATTGTGCGCAAGCGGACGGAACGCATCCCAAGGTGTAGGGCAACGCAGCAAGATGAGTTAGCCTAGAAAACTTTCTTTCTGATCGTCAACATCGCTAACGTTAGAGAAGAAACTTGGTTCGACTTTTGATTAAGGAAGACTTAAAGGTCATGTTGTGCCAAATCATAATCAGGGGAGATTACAAAAAGAAACAAACCGAAAACCAAACTCATAGATTAGGCCTACTTTACTATTTTCCTTGAATTTATTATGGATCACTTATAACGAGAATCCTGCTATAAAGGACATTATATGGCACCGGTCCCCTCTCTCTCATTATAACAGGATTCCACTGTATCGATATCCTGTACTTTGTGTTGATGATGCCAATTTTAAACAGACGGGACCCAGATTCTTAAGTTGTACCACCATCTGAACAAATGACAATGAAAGGTATTTTTATTCGAAACAGGAAATATATGTGTATCTTTTGATGGGGGAGATGAATGTAGATCCTACTAGATTAGATATAATCAAGACCCACTATATGTCTGTAGGAGATGTAACCCCTCCCACGATGAGGTATCGCACATGGACCCCAACCCTCTGGGATCCAGATATGACCCCTACTTTGGTGTATCTTCCTCTTCTCCTTCCTTCTTTCTTACTTCTTCTCTCTTCTTCCACCGCCAACCTCATGTGGAGCAAAACTAGAGGTCACCCATCCCACAGAGTGGGCGCCTGGTTGACCCTGAGGTGCGACCCGTGCTGAGGAAAACCTGGCGCTTGAGGTGAGATCAGTCTGCGGACTGTCCCTCGCTAACAGCTCTTTGGCCCTGGTTTTCCTCTTAGATGGAAGGGTGGCACGGCCCATGCCACTCAATCAGTTGGGAGCTGAAACCCCTTCAGGCCCTGGGTCAATCTTGACGGGAGGGTCTTGCACACTCTCGTAAAGAGTATAGCTCTGGGGTAGCTCTAGTTATCCGAGCAATGTGTCCTCTTGTTGGGCTCGGTGGCGGGCGGAGAGCCCCGGAGTCGAAATAACAACTGCACTCACATGGAAATTTCACTGATAAAAGACCCTGCCCCAGCTCTCCCAACGTTAAAAAGTCTCGGCTCGCGGAGGCGGGTGCGGCCGCCGGGCCAAGCAAACCATCGACCCCATCTCTTCAGGGAAAAGGACCTAAAGTTACGGCTGCCTCTACCCTCCCTCTTCCCAGGGAGCTTCTGCGACAGCCGTACTTAACTATCCGCAGCACTGATGCGCTGAAAAAGATCACAGATCTTTACTTATATAAGACTGGAGATGCACTAAGACATGTTCTGGGATACATTCCTACAAATTTCCTGTAATTGTCCTCTGATGCATTCCTCATCAAGTGCGCATCGGATAAAGAACTGGCCGGAATGGAAAAAATCACGACCTTCGGCAGTGTTCCTTGTGTATCCGAGCGACATCAGAAGTTCAACCGATGGAAGGGTATGGTCCGCAACCATGAACTGAAGGGCTGCTCCAACGAGGAAATTGTGGCTAATTGCTAGAGTGTGGTCGAAGCCCGCGAATTACTCTTCGGCGGGGGGCGACCACACTTTAAACGAATATGATAATTCTAACCTTCGATGCGTGCCACCCTCCGGCCACCGTTCCCCCCCTAGGCCGCCGTCAAATCCAGGACTGCAGCTTAGAAAACCCTCTGCCTCCCCCACAATGAGGAGTCGGGGTCATTTTTACTCGATTATGCATCGAACACTCAAATACCTCCTTCAGGGAGAAGAGAAGCCATTTTGTGTCAGATGCGATTTTACAATCAGACACATTTAAACAGAATGTCTAGACTTCGGACTCAGGAGGGACCTGAAGGAAATATTTTAGCAGATGCAAAAAAATTGCAAGACCTGTTTTCCGTCGTTGATCCCAACAGATTCCTTGATTTTATGAAGGCCATTGGCCTTTATAGAAAATTGCAAATACGGTCAAACCTGTGTAAGACTGCCACCCATTGTCAAGCAGAAAAATGGCCGTATAAGACAGGTGGCCGTCTTAAGCAGGACTGATTAAGATGAAGAAAAGAAACCATTCCTATCTGAGGTCCCAATCGAAAGTAGCCACATTGTTGTTGTTGTTTTTGGTTTGTATTTTGTTTGTAATTTTTATTTTGTTTACTGATTTTAGACAAGGGTGACAATAAAACGAAATGTATCAGACGAGGAAGACCAAGTGCCATGTTAAAACAAACACATGGGTCGCCACCACTCGGAGAACGAGCGACGCTTCTGTCACAAGATCATGTTGACGTCCTTTGTTACTTTGTTACAGACTGGGTAAACAGTGACCACTAATCTCACTTACGATTTGTGTATGAGTTCTGGGTGGGGCTTATGGGTTATGAGGGATCACATGCTTCCCTCATCAGCAGCTGAAAATGTGTTTCCTACCTATTGGTCAACAGTGGGAGAGGCCTACGCAACATGATCGGTTGGAGGAACTACCTAACAACAACAATAGGTTATTGAATTATGACGGCTTGCCCACAACACCAGGGGCCAATGCACAATTTATGACTAAAAGTAATGGAGTCACTAAGGTGGCCGTCTAAGACAGGTGTTATTGCTTAGTGTGATAGGGGTTGTGTGTTAAGATATGGTGGCCGCGGCCACGTTGGACAGGTGCCCGTTTTACACAGTTAAATTATGTAGAAAAAACGCAAGGGGGGGAATGGAAAGTGGCCGTTTGTACAGGTGGCCGTCTTATAGAGGTGGCCGTCAGGGCAGGTTTGACTGTACATATATTTTGATTTTAAAGCAGATTACCATTTTTAGATTGTTATTTTACCTCAAATTTTTTTTTTATCTGATCGTTGACTTGAGCCAAGCCGTGCAGTGAGCTGTTGTGGATGAGTCCTACTTGTATTTCGCACTCTCTTATGACCTTATGTAGTTGCAGGCGCCGTAAAACTTGTACTAAAACAAACAAACAATCACGTTGTATGTAAACTGATAATTTTCTGTTTTGTACTCATGTATTTTACATGACTCAAAAAAAATATTTTTTTCCAATTCTCTTATATTGCAGTTGCTTCAAATTGAAAGAACCGTGGGGGTTTTCCGGAGTTTACATAATTTATCACAGATTGTTCACCGAGGTTGAGACAGTTGCAACATGGCGGCCAACAAGGGAGCACAGCTGTCAAAAAATGTTCTTCAGATGAAGGTAATCAAGCATCTCTGAATATCTTGAGTGAAAGAAAGTTTTTACTTGACTGATAAATTATCTAAGTGTTCAAATTGGCTTTGCAATTTTTGTCTTTTGATGTGATCTATGAAACTTGCAAGAAAAAAAAATCTGAAAAGTTTGTCTTATCTGCAGTTTTTGTGAATTTCTTTATTACATTTGACTAACTAGAAGGCCTGAGAGGTCGAGGGTTTTATTTCTTGTTTCCCCTTCCCTTTACCCTCTGACCTCCTCCATTTAGGTAAAGAGCAATATTTTTGTAAAACTGTTTCAGTTACCGTAGAGCTAGCATTTACTTTTATTTTAGAGAACAATAAACTAAGACTTTGTACAGAATCGAGTGTACCGTTACATTGTTAGTAATTCCAAGATGTACATGGCGTTAAATTGACAAAAATGGATATTACTGGCATTTTTGTTAGTTGTGACAGAGCTGTTCTTCCTGGTGTTGTTACTTAATTTAAGCCTTTTGATTTTTTGCCCCCAGTTTATGCAGCGGAGTGTGCTCAGAATTGAGAGGGAACAGAATGAGGACGAGAGGCAAAAGATCATTGATGACGAACATTGGGTACTTGACCTTCCAGAGTATAAAACAAAAGAGTGAGTTGATGTCCTTACTTTTCTCATTTATAGAGAATGGAGTCTATAACTGCTTTGTTTGGCGAATTGGTAGAAACTGGAGAAGCTGTAGTGGAAAATATTGTAAGATTTTGTAGTAGCCATTGAAAATCTTTCCAAGCAATGTAAACTGATTTTGGTGATTGCAGCATCTCCGGTTCCAAGAAGTCATGTTTTGTTTTACGTGTTGGTCATATTATTTAAAAGAATAAGTTCTCCTTGTATTGGAAAAGATGAGATGACCACATTGGCTTAAAGGTCAAAAGTAGCTCTGTAAAATGTTTGAATCGTCTTGCTGCGGGAATTTCCAGTAAGAAGATTAGTTTAGCTACTGATCAGAACGAAAAACAACTGTTTGTTTTTGTTTGTTCTAGTTGAGTTTTTACGACGCTCGCAACTGCATACGGTCTTATGAGCACCGCAACTGTCTTTTGAGTTTTTATTCAAACTCATTCCTTAGAAATGAGCAAATTTGATCTCAATAATGTTTGGGATAAGAGTTCTGTACTGGGATACCCATCCTAGTAATGTTCTTGATCAGAGTTCATTGTATTAATAGCTGGGATTCATTACTCTGCATTTTCTTCATATGTAAATTTATAAAAGTAGCAAAGTATTTGCACTGCTTTTGATTCTTGAATTTGTTGGATTTTTTTCCTCCAGGCATCGCTATCTGAAAGATCAAAGTTACGCATTCTGTGAGCAGCTACGCTTTGGCAGGCAATCTTTTCAAGGTTTTAATCCAGAAATTGAGGTTTGTCTCACAATGTTATTAAAGTATCTTCCATACTTTTATCATTCTGCATTTCTCAACAGCACTTCTCAAGTCCAGACTTTTTCGCATTTGAGGAGGTGAAAGCTGTACATATTCAATGTTTATTTGTTGTTTTACCTATACTTGTGGTTCAAAATAGTGATCTTGTGGTTGAAAGTTTTCCAGAATGCATAAAGTTTGCGTATTTTGAAAGCCTTTTGATTTAGATTATTTTTGTATGCTTTTATTTGAGTTCTTTTTTGCTGGCTTTTCTTGTACAATATTAACCCATCGTGAGGTTATCTCGACTATAGCCACGACTGTCCCTCAGAGGGTATTGCGCAACTATAAGTCGCGATCATAAACACGGGCACTTGAGACCCCATTTTTCTAGCATTTCCTGCCCCAAACAAGAATCTGGACCCAGGATTGGAATAGAAAACGAACGGTCCTGGAATTGGTTTACATCAGCCTCTAAGGCAGTAATCAAATCTGAAATGAATGTTTGCAACCTGTTCAATGCATTTTATCGGGATGTTAGGGATTCAAAAGGAAACAGACTGTATTTCAATGGGAAAAGTGTGAGGCATATATAGCCCTCTGTGTCCCTGGTTTTCTTAAACTTTATCACTCTCACTAGGGCTAGGACTAGGAGAAATTTAGCGCCACAACATTTGGCTAACACTCAGGCAAAGACACTCTGACAAACAAAAAATTTTAATCTATGACAAGGTGTTGTTTTGAAGCATTTGTTGTTGTTTTTTTCCTTCACTCAGTTTCGAGTTCAATGATGTTTGCTTCATATTTCTATCTTAAAAAATAAGGAAGTTGTAAGCATTTTTCATAACCTTCCTTAATGTTCATTAAGTTCTCAAATTAATTCGCCTCTTGAAGGGTTAAGAATAAGAAAAAGTCTTTCTAATTTTTTTGGGGGGGTCAGTTTTTGATATTTCATGTAATGTTTGTAAATTCACAGAAACTGATGAAAGCAGAGATAGCTGAACAAGAATTGAAAGAAGCTGAAGAGAAGGAGAAGCAGAACAGTGTTAGTGACAAAGAAATGACACAGAGGTAAGAGAATATTTGGTCACTTTTAAGCACAAGGGGGCTATCCCAAAAATGCTGTTTTGAGAAAATCAAAGGTAAAGTTTTTGCCCCTTGTTCAGTTTCTTGATAAGACAAGGAGAGTTTTCTCTATAACCAAACAAATATACCCACCTATGAAACCAAACTTCTCCTATAGGTAGGGCGATGCCCACGTTTGGTGTAGGTCTAGATTTCTGAAAACTCCAGAAATGTGGGTTAGCCCGCTTGTCCTTAAAAGTGACCGTTTGATGGTTTCAATTAGTTTGTTTTTCTTTCACTTCCTCCATTTGATTGATTCTTCTACTGAGGCACCATATGATAAGCCGCATTCCATTTAGAGATATGAAGAATTCTGTAAAGTTATGAAAATTCAGATTCAATGACGTTTACGCTGTAGTTTTATAGTACTGTTATACGCCAGATATGGTTCAACGGATTTCAAAGAGAGGAAAGACACCTGTACTTTTCTCAGGTTTCATAGACCACTCAAATATGTCACACATTTTGCTGACCCCCTTTTTGAAATGAGAAAATTGTTATTTACTCTGACATCTTAAAGTACCAGTCTGTAGTAGACTTTTAACAAGATATTTTTTAAAAATTAAAAAAAAGATTGTTCCCCATTTTATGAAGCAGATCCACCTTTTAACAGTTGTTTGAAGGATACCACTGGTAGGTCTCCTTCTTTTCTTTCCATTTGTTGATTTTAATCTGTTTGTCTTGCCTTTAGCCTGCACTAAGTGACTGTTGATAGTGTGTCGATGTGCAAATAAACTCAGTCTTGGAAAACACCGTAGTCCTTGACTGAGTACAAATTCTAATATTCACTTGTTACTGCCACCAGATTTTGGTTCTGATGAATACAAATCAGTTGCGTGTCATTTCTCTACACTCACACCCAGAGAAAAAAGTCCTTTCTGTATAAATTTAATTTGTATTTTCACCATGCATTCTTCACTTCTGTTTCAGATATTCCTCTCTCATGGGTATTCTTGCTAAAAAGTTTGCCAAGAAAAGAAGCAGGAAGGACATTGTTGATGAAGAAGAAGTTGAGGAGCCATCTAAAAAGAAAGCCTTCTTGAAACCTTCAGATGATTAGAATATGAATTGTCGGCCAGAACTATCACCCTAGGTGTATTTTTTAGATTTTTTTTTTCTTAACACTGAGAGGTCACTAGAAAGATTTTATTTTAATGTTATTCATCTGCAAATTTAAAAATTACCAGCTCCGTTTTTTAAAAGATGGAAACACAGTATTCTTAACTTGACATATCCTCGGCTAGCATAAATTTCAAAACCATTTTTGCTAGCTTGAACAGATTTAACTTCTTTTTAATTCAAAGACCTGTGTTTCAGATTTTATTGGTATAAACGTAAGTCAGCATGTTTGAGTATTTATGAATAAGATAACTCGGACCACGGGTGTTTTGGTCCCTTTCCCGATACCTTTTTCTACCCCCTCACCACATGATGCTTTGACCAAATACTTACTGGCTCATTACTTCTTGTCAAATCTCTCTCTCTCTCTCTCTCTCTCTCTCTCTCTCTCTCTCTCTCTCTCTCTCTCTTTCTCTCTCTCTCTCTCTCTCTTTCTCTTTTTTTCTCTCTCTCTCTCTCTCTCTCTCTCTCTCTCTCTCTCTCTCTCTCTCTCTCTCTCTCTCTCTCTCTCTCTCTCTCTCTCTCTCTCTCTCTCTCTCCCTCTCTCTCTCTCTCTCTCTCTCAGATAAGTGGGCAGGACACTAGTCATATGCATTGATTCTCTGCATTTGGTACTACTCGTAGGTAGATTTTGTTCTTTTTTTTTTACTTGATAAATTTACCATATGTGAGGCATTGGGTGAAATCAGGCGTTCGTCTAAAAAATGAAATCGGAGGAATCTGCATTTTTCTGCATGTTTTGCAATTTTTATTGGACTTATACTTTATAGTTCAACACCTTTTATGTCCATCTAAAAACACATTCATGTGTGGATTTTACTGGAAAACGATTAAAGACACCACAAAAAAAAGTTCACTTGCAAAAGCTCCACAATAATATTTGTTACCAACAGTCTCTTACTGTGAGAGAAAGTGAACTCCGGTTTCTCTCTTTATTTCATTGCTTATTCCCCCTGTTCAGACTTACCTATATAATCCTTCTTGCTTTAAGATGTTCATAGCCCAGGTAACTTGGAAGTTGTTTCGACTGTATTTTGCACTTTGTTTACCTGTGCTATCCTGTATGTATTTGAGTCAGATCGTATGCTGTTGGTAACTGACAGAGTAATTGTTTTCATGCTTCATCAAAGAATCCAGTACACTTTTCTGAAATTGGAATCTTAAGAGTAAGAGTGAAATAACAATATTATGTTCAAATGGTGAGCTAGGCAGATGTTTCACATTCTCACTCAATATTCTTTTCCGTGGATTTGCTAGATTGGGGGGGGGGGGGGGGGGGAAATGTTATTTAAAAAAGAATTTTTTTAACTTTAAAACTTGTACATAGAATTCTGTTATATATGGGAGTGATTGGAGACTTGTGTACATGGCATAATTGAAAATGGTGCAAGAATGTGAGTTGGAGTAAGGTCTGAATGAGATGTTTTGAATGTAGTGTTGATGTCAATGCATTTTATAATGAACAAGTATATTAAATTTGTTCAAAGACCTTTCGTTTTGAGTTTTGTAGTGTCTTTTCCTTTAAGCGTTGAAACCGGATTTTCTCTGGTATCAAGAAATTCATATGTCTGAGATTAGGAACTATTTTATTTATCCTTTAATTTTCATCTTGTAAGACATGTAGCCTGTTGTGTCTTCATGTTGTCTGATCTCTTTCCTCTTACCTTCATAGGGCATAGTGTAATTTTATGTTCATCTCAGTATGATAAAATCTTCTTTTCATAATTAATGTTTAATAATTTCCTAATGTAAACTTGTCAAATCATCAGAAGCGAGGAACAACTCTAGAGGTCAAAGTCATACATGTACCTGTACTTGTAAAGTTCATGTTCAGTATTTTTGATGAGCCCCCTCTAATACTTTGAGCTACAGAAGATGGAACTGCATTGCAAGTTAAACAAATTTAATAGTAGTATTGATCCTGTCAGCAGTGAACATTATGATTTAGTCATTAGAACAGGGCCATTATTTGCCCTAAGTTTGAGATTGTTCTGTATCAGAGCAGTCACTATTTCAGAACTTGTCCCCTTTCAACTCTTAGTTTTAGTTTAGTAGGGGTTTTTCGGCGCTTGCAACTGCATAAGGTCATATGAGCGCCAGAAGATTAGAGCTGTTACAAGAGAGTAACAAACATAAAAAAGATGAAGGGGAGATAAGGACGATAGATGTTTGATAGGAAAGAAGAAGCAAACCACACCAGAGCACCCGCCAACCACCCACTTTCAACTCTACCCGATACCCATTTGGCTGTAAAGTTTAAGGCCCCGGGTTCACCGATAGCTCTTAGCCAAATTAGCGAGTCATTGTGACAATAAAGGGTAGAAAAATCAGGGCAACTAATAACTCCTTCAATAATGTGGCCTTGGACTATAGAATGGCTCTGTCACCAGTGACCTGCAGGGGCAAGAGATCTACATATTATCTTTATTTGTGGTGGATTGAGTTTGACATTCTTTTTTTTTTTCTCCTTTAACATTCATTGTTTCTGTTCTGTTCCTGTGGTTTTATGCACCCCGCATAATTTAGCAAAATTTGATCATTTTTTGCATAATTTCTGATTATTTTCCTTTATCATTCTTTGTTAAAATTAACAGAATCGCATAATTTCACATTTTTGGGCTCAGTTTGCATAAATTCAGAATTTTTCTTGCATAAAACGACAGGGACAGTCTGTTACTGTTACAGTTACAGAACCTTCAAAAGTCTAAATTCATGTACAATGACACATCAGCTCGTTATACAATTAGGGCCACTTAGGCCTTTTTTCTTTTCAAAAGGGGTTATTGGGTGTCCGTTCTTCTACAAATGCAAGGGGCAATTCCAGTGGGTCGAAGCGGCCAGCCTCCAAGACCTTATGAAATGTAGATGAAGGTGTAACATGTTACGACAGAATTGTATCATTACCGTTACGACATGTCGTACGAAGAATCACTCCCTCTCTATATTCTATGTTTGTGTATGTTCAGTTCAACCTTCGCATTCACTTCTCTCAATAGTCTCAATATACCTTTTCTGCATTGCAAGCCGGTCTTGTCATGTG